GCAGTTGCCGGCGAGCTTACGTCGCCGCTCCCGCGTCTCGCGTTCCCATCCCTCGCCTGGCAATATCGATCGCCGTGCGGTCACATCTCGCCACGCGCTCGAATTGGACAGTGGGCAGGGCAAAGACGACGATTTTCGATAATTTATTACTCGTTAACTATTGCGAAAATTGCAAATGGTTCAGGACTTTTCTGTTCATCTCGATCCGTTCTACCTTCTCGCGAGCTCTGGCACAAATGTTGTGACTCACCCTGTATATACGAGAAATAATATACTGTAAAAGATGTTTTGAAAACATCCTAGAAATATATACGAAAACTGGTATACTACAGGAGATATTATAGAGATATTCTCAGTATATTATTGTATGTACAGTGCGTACATTTATAGTATGAGTACAGAATGTTCGTGTAATATCATGTGCTGTCTGGGTATTATATTTACGCTCGCTCGTGCATGAAAAATTTTTTATCGGGCAGCAAATCTACTTCAAATTGAATTATCTATTTAATAAAAATAAATTAATCTCTCACGGTGTTTCTAAAATTACGAGACCAACGTGAGGAAATTGAATTCTTCCGGGTTGCGTCTCCCGTTTTTCGAAACGTGCCACACACGTAAACCACGGTAGAGAAAAGCCGTCTTTTACTCGCCAGGAACCGTGGAGATTTAACGCCGAAGAGAATAACGAAAACGCGAGGCGATAATCGAGAATGCGGGGATCACCTGAAATGACGTCACGTTACGTAGCTGGATACAGGTTCCGTTCAAGATGCAACGTAAGGTTTAAAGATGTAAAATAGTAGACAACTGTCAACCGGCCGCGGAGAACTTTATTCGGCACAAGTGAATCGAAGGTGTATTTGCTTCGAGAGACGACTTACAATTAGAACTAAACTCACAGTCAGTTTAAGAGGGATTTTCGCTCACGAGACAGGTCTAGTTTTTGTTGAAAAATAACCAATAACGTTTACGTTAATATTCTAATCGGGAAGAGTAACTGGCACAGTTTCTGAGTGGTGGAAACGAAAAGGTTAACATACGACATGATAATCCGTCAGGATAGGACTAATTTTTTATAACAGATTTGAAAAAGTTGTAAAGAAAAAGTTAAAGATCGTGCAGACAAAAGTAAGTGAAAGTGAGTAGCTTATGGAGCAAAGATAACGGGACTATAGTGTATTAAGAGAGCGAGGTAAACCGCTGAGGGCATTGTAGCACAGATTTGCGGCATTACTAGGCATTACTAGGAATTTTTTCTCATAAAGAATCTAAAAAGATAAATGAGATAAAACAAGATAAAATGAGATAAATAAGAGAAAACAAGATAACACAAGATAAAATAAGATAAAACAAGATAACACAAGATAAAGTAAGATAAAACAAGATAACACAAGATAAAGTAAGATAAAATTATATAAGACAAGATAAAATAAGATAAAATAAGATAATAAGGTAAAATAAAATAGATAAAGTAATGTTAACGTATGCCCACTGGGCATTACTGTCAAATTTTAATGCACTAGTGGGCATTGGTGTACATGATTTTACCCCTCGATTAAGGATTTTAATTAGAAGAAACTATTTTTATAAACGTTTTAGAAATAAAAATTATAAATATGCAAGATATGAGTTGCGGCACATAACAGCGAGCACTCACGTGCCCCGTAGAACCCGTGTCAGTCTACGAATTGAAATTGAGATTAGATTGAAATTTAACTAATCCGAGCAAGGTTTGCTAATCTCAGGCTAGGTAATTATTGCTGCGATTGGTCAATTTTCAAATCTTAATCTGTAGTCTGATATGGGCTTTAATTGTCCCGGTAATTCCTTTTCTTTTTTCTTTTGTCGCCCTTGCCACCTGAAGTGTCAACCACGTTATACCGGAAGGAATGTAGCCGATAGTAACGTGGCCGATAGCATAGCATCTGAGATCATGATCGTTCATACATGGTAGCCGCAAACGCACGGCGATGCAAATGAGTGTCGAGTCTTTGGCGCGAAAGCTGTGTCACGTTTGTTCTCGAAAAAAATGAGAAAACGCCGACGCGAATGACAAAAGGGAAAGAAAAGGGAAAATAATTGTATATGTGTACAGGGTATCCCAGATCTAACCCGTTAATGACAGATTCCTGAGATCATTTTGAGACAAAAATTCTAATACCTAAATGCCGAGGTTACAATAATTTTTAAATGAGAAATGCGTAAAGTTGACAAATCAAATTGTTCGAAATTCGTGCGCTCAAGTGTGTCATATTGCACAGTAGTAAAGGTGTTTTAAAGCGCAGACAATGCATGTGAGAAAATATATCAGTTTCGAGAATAGATTTGATGCGCTTGAAAAAATACCTTCACTATTATGCAATGTGACATGCCAGAGCGCGCGAATTTCGAGTAACTTGGTTTGTCAACTTTGAACATTTCTCATTGGAAAATTATTATATTAAAGTCGTAGCATTTAGAATTTTCGTCTTAAAATAATCTGAGGAATCTGTCGTTAACGGACGGTGCGTTAGCTCTGGGATATCCTGCATACTTATCGAATAGACTCCCTCGTTCTTTCGCATCAAAGATATACCCTTCGACCTTTCGTCCCTTTTAAACTGTAAATGACTTATAAATTAATGATGGGAGATAAAACGCGCAAAATTGACGATATTTTTTCCTCTGCAAATGACAGAATTACTTCTTTATTGCGTATTCGAAGAAGCGAGAGGCGACGAGAATTTCGATAAGCGTATAACCGATGACTCTTAAATCTGCCAACAAATTTTCCCTCGGAGCTTTCTCGATGTAGATTATAATAAAGATTCTTTTCTCGCTTTCCTACACGAATAAGAAAATTCCGCGAGGATGCTCGAATGTTCGGCACGAAGAGAAATTAAGGGAGATTATACGGTAAGGATCATTTTTTTCTTTCCTTGCTTTCAGATTGACTATCGGGACGCAAAATGGTATCGAGGCGGAAGATACTTTCGCGTTCGCGAGATAATCTCGTGGAGTCACAGTACGAGGAGCAAGATGAGGAAGACGTATGGTATAATTTGGATAAATTGTACAAGGTAATCTTTGGTTGTCTCCTATTTTTACTTATATATATATATATATACCTATGCATAATATACTTAAAAACATATGCAGGGTGAATCATTAAGGCTGTCCCAACCTTTTACCATGAGGGAAGGATTACCGACCGGAACTGTAGCCAATCCGGGAAAAAAAATTGAAAAATCTTGTTATACATATATGTTTCAGTCATGTAAAACCTAATTGTATCTTGGGAGATATAATTAGATATTACATGATTGAAACATACAGGGTGTCTGATGCAAAAGTAGCCAACTTGAAAATAGTGGTAGATTGGGTTAAACTAAGGAGAAATATCATGTGCTGCGGTACAAAAGTAACAATAGTTATCGAGTAATTAATTTACACGTCTGAGCGAATGAGGATCCAGAATACGGTAGGCCAGACTCGGAAGGCATTTAAGAAAATCGATCGATGAGCGGGAGGTGGAGCGACGCGCGAGATACTATGTTTATGTTTCGGTCGCCCCAGGTCGCCCGTCGCTCGCGCTCGTTGCCGCGCTCGCCGCCCGCGCCGCGCTCCCCGCCGCGCCTAGGTTTTTTCCCACTACGGTGTATCTCGCGCGTCGCTCCACCT